TGTTAATGGATAGAGTCAGGAAAGTTTGATTGGCTGGCATTAAACTGCCTATTTTTACCTAATTTATCTCCTCACTAGGTCTATATTTTGCTCTGATGAAGGATCCTCACATTTATTTCAATCTATTTTACAAAGTTGAATATAAGGTGATTATGAATATTAGAACAACTTGTGTACATTATCATGGATCTACCTCATTCCTTCTATCTGCAGCCTGTTTTTCAAAGTGTAGTCCTCTGACCAGCATCACAAGCATAACCTGGAAACTTGTTAGATATGCAAAATTTGAGACTCTAGCCAGACATTCTGGATCAAAATCTCTGGGTATGCCCAGCGATCAGCATTTAACAAGGTTTCTAGGAGATCCTGATGCACACGAAAGTTTGAGAACCACTGCTGTAATCATATCCCACCTTGATAGCTTAACAAGGTTATTAGTACCCATTAGATACTGTTTCAAAGATAGTCTTTGTTATTTAAGATTATTTAATCAGCAGAGGGCACTGTAGTAGTTGTTAGGAGGAAATTGTATTAAATCTACATGGTCAAGTAACAAGCATGTAAATATTAATGCATAAATTATACCTGTTAATAAAAGTATGTCTATAAACATAAGTAAAAGCACTATACTAAGTGATTTTTCACCACCACCATGCATACAAGAAATTTCTGCACACTTACATTTAACTATTGTGTGTCCTGTGCATACTTAAATATCATTGACTTTTAGCAATAATGTTTTTTAAGGTAATTTTTCCTATGAAGGTTAAAAATGGACTTGAACTTCATTGACAATTTCCCTGGACTATAGAATCATTGTTTATGACACCCTTTTTTGCAACTTGAGTAGTCTTTGAAGCATCTTTCTGACTTTCATGTTATCTTCAAAGTGTCAAGGGTAAAAGAAAAAAATCACAATAAGTGATTTTGCATAGGAGATTGCAACCTTCAAAGTTTAGAAAGTATTTAGAAGTTAAAAACAAAATGTCTTATTTAAAGAGTATAGCTAAATCCAATTAAACCTCATTATTTTGGAATCTACTAGTCCAAAAAAGGTTATATCTGAAGTAAGAATATAAATTTCTACTATTGCTCAAGGAAAAACAGAATTTGATAATCAAATTTAATAATTTATTTAAAAAATGTGGGAAACGGAATGAAACTAATTAAGAAAAAAGGATTTCAAACTTTTAATGGCATCTTTTTTTGCCATTGATTATGAATAGTCCATTGATAATGATTGCTTGTTATCTACTTGTTAACAAGTACTGATAACCTTCATGTATCTGTGCTTGTCATCCTAATGTATATGATTGAAGGAATAAAGCTACATTTGTTAAAACCACTCTTCTGTTTGGATTTTCTAGTAAGTTCGACAGATAGTTTTTTCTCATTTTATTCTAAACTAACTTTTATTCTCTTGCTCTTTGCCTTCTAGTTGAGCCTCTCCATTTACAGTTTACAGATGTTTTCACCCAGCTCTTGCCCTCCTGTCCATCTTCCAATTTCCATCTCGTTTGGCTGTTTCTTCCCTTTAGATACCATTATTTCAGTATTCTTCTTTCTGCCCCCAACTTGTCAATGTTCTTACATTTAGGTTCTTGCTCTCTGTTCTCTTTCCCCTCATCTTTGGTTCTCAACCACTGTTTCTAGGTTTGGTTTCTGGATTTTTGTATTATTTCTCTTCTTTAACTGGTATAATCAAAATTATACAAGGATGTAACAATTGGAAAGCAGAGGCATAGAGAAAATTGACGTGTATTGAATACCTACTCTATGCTAGGTGATTTACTTACATCATTTAATTCTCATAAAATGTAGGTATGCTTTATTATTAGCTCCATTTATTCATAAATACACTGAAGCTCAGAGAGATTAAATATTTTAAATATTAAATATTTTGTTCTAATTTGTTCTAATTCACAGAGCAACTAAGTGACAAAGCCGGGTTTCAAGCCTATATGGGTTCATTTGTTCACTCCTTTATTCAACAAATATTTATTGAGTGCACGTTCTGTATGTTGGACACTATGGTAGGTGCTTCAACAGATCCAGTCCTTACTCTCCAGACCTTAATTGTATGGTGGTATTGTCTGACTTCACAGATGGTGATCTTTTTGCTACACCAAACAGAAGAAGAGAAAATAAAAAGTAAATAGAATGGTTCTGATGTTTTATGGAAAAGATGTATTTGATATAGATGTAAGAAAGACTATATTTGTGCATTATTTAGGAATATATAGCAAAAGAGTTGCTTTGTGTTTAGTCCCGGAGAGGGTCTCCCTCCTCACTCACCCCTGTCAACACCAATGCCTTGTAGTGGCATCACCACAATATATATTTTCCTCTTATGTTCTATGCTGTACAAGATTTATGTCTATAGGCCAACATTGTCTAGAAAGTCTTCAGAAAGAATTAACTGTCCTCCCTAAATTATGTTTGGAAAAAGATGAAGACCCCTGTGTAAGAATACATACATTCATTCATCCATCTATTATCCATATATTTACTAATACCCTAAAAAGTATTTAAGATGGTTTAGCCAAATACATAAAATACAACAGAACTTTTAATAAGATAAATATGGAGAAATAGGGCAAGGAAAAATAAGGTGAAATTGGGTTGTATTCAGTAAGCCTACTAAAAAATATTCATAAATTAGTCTCTCTTCTCAACGGTAACTTGATTCACAGTCATCATAATTTTAAAGACAAACTGGTATCACAGAAGTGTACCCCATTCCTAGTTGTAATACATAAGAGGAACTTTCTCCTACAGGTCCTCCTAAAGAGGACCTCAGTACAGTGTGGTGAGCAATGGTCTCAAATACTCGCTAAAATAAATATGAGTTTCACTGAGCCATTTAATTGTATCCACCTGCATACCATAAAAGCAAAGTCCAGTAAAACAATTCTTTTAAAAGTGGATGAGCCTTTTCAGGTAGACCACTGTGGTCTGGCTAAATCCGATGGTATATTTTAGAGGATCTCGAAAAATGAATGAATTACATTTCTTTTAGGTAATTCTCATATGTAATTTGTCAGTTGAGTTTTTCATGTACTAGATAACAGTGAGTTTGCACACTCTTACAAGTTTTACTCACTACTGCAACATCATTGCATAGAATACCACCTAGTACATAGTAGGTGCTTAATAAGTATTTGTTGTATGGATGGATAAATGCTGTGCTTTGAAGTATGTAAGTGAAAGACTTCCTCTGTCACTTCTCTGTTGATATTTTCTTCCTTTGTCCTTAAATAACGTGGGCTACTATACTTTGGAGTATATCATCTTTATGTGGACCCTCAAATTCATTAAATGTCACGCATTGCTTAGGTGACTTTTTCAAACAGATAATGAAATAAATATTAACCCTATACAAAGAGCTGTTTTAAGATTGTTCTCAGTAACATCCCTTTGTTGATTTTTAGGGCTCTAAGATTTTAAGGTCCCTAAGAAGAAGTTGTAAACTTCAGTGAAGCAATTTTAACATGGAAATAGTGTTTCTTCTCAGGAGACCTCAAAATCATATCGGATTTATTAAATTTGGAAAACATGGGATAGATTATATATAACACTAGCTCAACAATTTTCAGCTATATATTGATATTTTAACGAAAGTAGTTAACTCCCAAACTTAGAAATTTAAGTATGTCCTTTTCTCCTTCCTGCTCGCCCCTTATTTTTAAAGCAGGTTTTATTGAAAAGCATTATGGTAGTGTTAATTTTCCTTTAAAATTTCTGACATTGTTAAATATTGCATTATGCTGGGATTCAGTGAACCAGTAGATTACATCAATTCCAGTAATCCTTTATTCTATATAATTATAAGGGATTAACTAATTTATATGCATCTTAAAAGTTTATTTATAACATCAACTGGCATGTAACACATACTTGGTGCATTTTAACTGCTCTGCCCAGATTTCTTACTCTATAAAAATCTATTGAGCTATTATAACAATCTGAGGCTTCGTTTTAAAGTTTAGGTTATTAGGCTAGATGAGATATTTACCAACCTAAATTTTGCCTAGAACAGTGATTTTACTTAGGACGATCACTCGACTTCTAATGAAATATTGAACTATCAATCTTTCACTATATTTTTCCATAACTTACTTTTTATTTTGTTTGCCTTGCTTCTTACTTACTGTAATACTTTATTTTGCAAGCTTTCTTCCTGTGTTGCTCCCAGTTATTGTAACCTGCTACATATGTAGAAAGAGGATTAGAAATGGATTAAGTCATGTGTTTCACTCCCAACTTTAGCCTAGAACATATCTTTACCATCACATTATGATAAATATATGCCTATTTTCATTGACCTTTAGAAAATCAAATTTTCTTGCCTCCTTCAGTACCTTATTCGAGGTTTAACCACACTTGTCTTAAGAATGCCCTATCTTAAAACTTCTATTATATAGTTAAAGCCTATCACTTCATTAATTCTTTTTTAAAAACAATCAGTTCATTTATATCGAAGATATGGAAATGGTAAATCTAGAGTTTTTCTTCTACCCAATTTATGGGGAAAGTTGACTCGATGATTTCTTGAGTTCCATTTATTATATCATAAAATCATAGAGCTAGGAGAGATATAAGGTGACCTTGGGTTTTTACGGACTAATTATTTCAAGAGTAATAGACAAAGAAAACTACCCAGATTTTTTATTCTGTGAAAATCTATTGAGCTCTTATAGCAATCTGAGGCTTAATTTTAAAATACAGGTTATTAGGCAAGATGAAATTTCTATTAAATACTTCTGAATTGTAAGGGATAAGAAAGGTCTGCTAATGTAAAAGCTCCCTTGATGTTCTGGTCCTCAGCTTTTATTCAGTGGTCCCAAAGAATTGAGTCTTGATGCCTTAAAAAAAATATTTGGAGAACTACTAAGTATGGTTTATAGATAGCATGATTTATAATTAAGTTAGTTTTACTACTCTGCCTTCCTTATTTTTGGTTAATTTCACTCAGTCTGCTATTTAATCTTTAATTACAGGCCACAAAAGAAGTAATAGAACGGGAAGCGCCAGGGATGGCCCTGGCAATGCTGATGGGATCACTTAATGTTACACCTCTGGGCATGCTCTCTAGGTAAGAAAGTCACCAACATGTTGCAAAGAAAATTAATTCCATACCACTAATCACTACAATAGACTGATAAACCTAAGAAACTCCAGTCATACCACTTAATTTTGCCCCCTTTATTTCCCAGAGTTATGAGTCTCAGTATCCTGTCTAGTTAAATATTGGCCACAGTTTCTTTCAAGTTCTTTTTTTGTTTGTTTTTGCATATTGTGTTGAAACTTTTAGAAAATATTGTATTACTGCTAAAAGTTATCAGTTATAACCCCAAGAAGAGTCCAGTTTATTAAGATGTAAAATATTCTTTTTTTGTGTGATTATAATCATCAATTAATTTCCCTTAGTTGTCATTAAATACTAATTTAGTAAAACTAAGAAGTAGAGTCTTTTTTAATAAGTTTTTACAAGTCAGTTTGTAAATAGGCATGTTGATGTGTGGTCATGAAAAGAAGCTCAATCAATAATATATTACTAGTATATTAAATTAGTGTATTTAAAACTATGCCTTTGTTGACCTAGATGGTGACATCCATCCTCAATTTGTTGGTTTAGTTATTTATTTGTTATTATTTTAGCAATTCTTAGATTAAAATCCCCTTTAATGAGAACAACATACATCACTTACGTTAAAGACAGAAATATCAACTTAGTGAAAATCTGTTGATTTAATGACCATTGATTAATACAGTTGATTTCAGAGTAATCTAGAAAATACACAGCAACTTTATAATTGCAGGGTTTCACAATCATTATTTATAGCCATTTATTGATCCTGTGTGCAATATGAATATAAAAGTAAATATATATATTGAATGCATAAAATATGAGTTATAATGCTCTTTCTGTTACTTAGACTAAGTTTGTATGCCATAAATGTCAGCCACTTGAAGCACAGCTACAGGGAAATGTGAATGGGTCATTAGTTAACTGTATTTTCTTTCCTGCTACAAATACTATATTATAACATTTCATTTTAATAAGAGCAAAAAAAGAACTAAAGTAGCTTGATAGAGATTTTGAATTTAAAAGTCCATGCTGGTCTTTAATGAACTCACATTGATTCTTTTATGCTGTTCTTTTTTTTTTTTTTTTTTTTTTTTTTTGCGCGGTACGCGGGCCTCCCACTGTTGCGGCCTCTCCCGTTAAGGAGCACAGGGTCCGGACGTGCAGGCTCAGCGGCCATGGCTCACAAGCCCAGCCGCTACGTGCCATGTGGTATCTTCCCGGACCGGGGCACGAACCCGTGTCCCCTGTATTGGCAGGCAGACTCTCAACCACTGTGGCACCAGGGGAGCCCTATGCTGTTCTTTTTTTAACCCTTACTTATATTACCTGACTGTAGGAGATCAAAGGTCACATTTGGTCTCTTTTCTCTATGGAATTAAGTAGTAGTCTTTGAACATAAAAGAACTCTTTCTTGGCATTCAAGGAATATAGTCAAGAAAGAATTAAACGTTACCTCTTGTTAATTATTTTATAATAAAAATCTAATTCAACAGACATAATAATACTCTATCTGCCAGGCCTTGCATTAACCATTAGGGATGTAAGTATGGAAAGAAAAGTAAGAAATGGTCCTTACCTTCAGGATCCCCAGTTTATCTGGAGAGAACTTGTTCCTTACAACTGCTAAGGTAACTCTTTAAATTGAATATAGCTTTCTTGATCTAATATAGAAATAACACTTTTGCCTTATTGAAAGATTTTTCTGGATTAATTTCTCCTCTCCCTTCTGAATCCACATAATTACTGAGCAGTAGACTGCTGAGTGAATGGGAAATAAGTTAGCAAGAGCTGATTTTAAGTATTTTGAAATAAGTCCATCATCTTTAGGCTGAAGGCTTTGAAAACTAAAGTGTACACAGCATAGTATACACAAGCAGATTCTATATACACATGGTATACACAGCCAGATTCTTCTGGCTTTTCTTTATGTTCATTACCTATTGAACTGAGAGTTTATTTACAAATTTGAAACAGAGATAGTAGTTGGCATGAGCTATGGAAAAGGGAATTGTGGACTATTTCCCTTAATGTTTATTTTTTGGTGCTTTTCAAATCGTTTAAAAAAATGTTAAACAGCCATGATTAGATTGATGCTTCCTTTGTTTAGCATTTTTACCTTGTATGTACTTGGGGCTTTGTACATGCTTATATTATAACACGTGCTATATTGTAATTATTTACTTTCTTGTCTGTTTTACCTAATTTGTATAAAATCCAAATTTGTATTAAGAACAGCAGCTTTATCTTATTCATTTTATATCCTCAGCCCCAAAACAATTTCTGACACATAGTTGGTACTCAAAAAAATGTTTCTTGTTATGGTTCCTATTGATAACTCAGTGTTTCATCCTAGCTGTAATAGAATTTTTTTTCAAGGTTAAGTAATGCATCAAGTTGGTGCCTTGCCTTCCTATTTTTATCTCTAGAGAGCAGCATTAAATAAAAATAATTTTTTAAATTACTACATCTGTTTAAATGGTTTTCATCTGCTTGGTTAACTTAATATCTTCCAGTTTTCCAGGTTTTTTTGTACAAGTAAGTTGGAAGATTGCATCAAGTAAAGGTTAAGAGTGTCATCTCTGAACTCGGACTGCTTGGGTTCTATTCTTGTTCTGTTACTAGTTACATAACATCGTTTTTTTCTCATCTCTATAATGAGGATGTTAGTAGTACCAGCCTTCTTGCATTAAGTAAACTAGCCCGCTTAAGTGCCCAGAACAGTTGATTCATAGTAAGTTTAAGTGTTGATCACTGTTGTGTTGTTATTTGTTCAGAATTCTAGTTCTTAGAGCAAGTCTGCTGGCAGAACCTCTTAATGCTTTCCTTCATCTGGAAATGTCTTTTTCTTACCTTTATTCCTGAAGGATATTTTCACTAGATATAGAATTATGGATTGACAATTCTTTCCTTTCAGCATTTAAAAAAATGTTATTCTATTCTCTTCTGGCTCCATGGTTCCTGTGGAGAAATCCACAGTCTTTTGAATTGATATTCCCTTATATGTATGATTTTTTTCTCTGGATGCTTTGAAGATATTTTTTCTTTATTTTTGATTTCAATAATTTGATTATTATGTATCTGGTTGTGGTTTTCTTTGAGTTTATCCTTTTGGGTTAAAAGAGCTTCTTGAATCTGTAAACTTATGTCTTTAACCAAATTTGGGAAATCTTTAGCTATTTTTCAGATTTTTCTTTTTCTGCACCAATCTCTTTCTCATTTTCTTCTGGTACTTTTGTGATATGGATTATACATCTTTTGATAACATATCACAGGTTTCTGATGTTCACTTTTTTTATTCATTTTTACTCTATTCTTCAGATTGTTTTTATCTATCTTCAAGTTCACTGACATTTTTCCTCTTTCATCTTTATTTTGCCTTTGAGCCTATCTAGTGAATTTTTAAAAATATTTGTTTACTTATTTATTTATTTGACTCCGTTGGGTCTTAGTTGCAGCATGCCGGATCTTCACTGAGGCATACAGGATCTTTCATTGCTACACATGGGTTCTTCATTGTGGCTCACAGGCTTCTCTCTAGTTGTGGTGTGTGGGTTTTCTCTTCTCTAGTTGTGGCGTGGGCTCCAGAGCATGTGGGCTCTGTAGTTTGCGGCACGCCGGCTCTCTCACTGAGGCGCGCGAGCTCAGTAGTTGTGGCACATGGGCTTAGTTGCCCAGCGGCATGTGGGACCTTAATTCCCCGACCAGGGATCAAACCCGCGTACCCTGCATTGGAAGGCAGATTCTTTACCACTGGACCACCGGGGAAGTCCCTCCAGTGCATTTTTAAATTACAGATATAGTATTTTTTCAGTTCTAAAATTTTTATTCAGCTGCTTTTTTATGGTTCTATTTCTTTGCTAAGAATTTTTATCTTTCCATTTATTTCAAAAGGTGAATGGTTATAATAGCTGCTTAATATTATTTTTCTAACAATTCCAGTATCTGTATCACCTTGGAGTTAACATCTGTTGATTTTTTCTGTGAGAAGTGCTCAGATTTTCCTGATTCTTTTCTGTGTTGAGTAATTTTGGATTGTACCCTGGACATTTTGAGTGTTATCTTTTAAGACTCTGGACTCTGTTAAAATCCTCTGGAGAGAGTTAGTTAGTTAGTTAATTTGTTTCAGGAATCAAGCTGATTGGATTCAGATTGAAAATTTTGTCTCAACTTATGTGGATGGTGATTCAGCCTTTGCTATACTGTCTGGGTCTGCCCAGCACATGAACCATTCAGGAGTTAGCCTGAGATGTGGGCAATGGAGTATATTTTACTTATGTTTTTAAAAGCCTTTCTTATAATTCTTTGAGTTTGTTACATGTGCTTAGCTCAGGAGTGAGCCTGGAACTTGTGTCAGTTCATTCACAGAATTAAGGAATCTGCCTTCTCCAACTCTCTCCTCTCCAAGAATTTCCCTACACTCTGCAGTTCCCAGTTAATACTCTATAAGAAATAGCTTCTGGCTAAAGGAACTGGAAATAGATGATATTTCTTGTAGAGTATTAATCCCCTGTGCTATTATGCAATTCCGCACAATTGGAACACCTTCAGGGCAAAGGCAAAAGAAAAGGAAAAAAAGAAATAATAACAGAGCTTCCTCTCACCCAAGCTTTTACACTTTAGCCAGAGAGATAGGTCTTCTCACCGGGTTCTAGTGCTTGCACCATCACAGTCGCAGTAGTACAGCTGTGTAACTGGAATTAGCCCCCTTAAGGGTTATTGACTCAAGTTCTGACTTCAGTCCCCAGTTTGCCTGCTATTGTTTATGTTCAGAGTTCTCAGGTAGTCACTCTTTGATTTTCTGTTCCCAATAAGTAGGAGACAGAGCCATAGTTAAGGTTCTACTGTGTTGGTCAACACCAACAGAAAAAGAGCTCTATTTTAAAAATCAGATCCCTGAGTTTATATCCTAGCATTTACTAGCATTTACTATCTATGTGACCTTGGGAAATTTACTCAGCTAGGTTTAGCACTTCCAGTCCCAGGAGCTAATTGAACTGCCCACA